CTTGCCAGGCAGGCGCTTTTGCCGCTGAGCTAAATCCCCAGCCCCCCAAGTGGTTGATATTAAAGGTGTGCACCACCATGCCTCAGTGATGTTTACTTTACACAAGCATTGTAATCTTGGTAAATCTTGGTGATTTAAGAATCCCAGTCTTAAACTAGCAAGGGAGCACAGATCTATGTTCCCAACAGTCAAGTGGTAGAAATTAACAAAATTTCTCCCAAGCCTGGGCAACTTGATAAGATCTGGTCTCAAACATTCAAAAAAAAAAAAAAAATTGGCAGGGGGATGTAGCTCAGGGCAAACTTTCTGAGTTCACTCCCTCTGCAAAGAAAATGATCAAACACCTTGAAATCTTTTCTATCCAAGAGAAACCACTTTCCATTCTACATCGGTGATGATGTGCACCTTATTTTAAAACTACAACAGGACCAGTTTCCTAATTTCTAACTCTGCCTCAAAAATGATTACATGAGCTGATCAGTAGCCACAGAAGAAATATGCACCTGTCACTAAGTTCTCCTCTTTTCTTTAGGCCTGTGACCTTAGACCCAATCTCAGAAGAAGCCAGTAGACAAGCTTTCATTTATTATCACACTAAGAACAATCTGATGTCTGGAGAAGTTTACTGTTGTACTTGCTGATTATTGCCACCCTTCCAAATCCCCCACTCTCCCATATCCGATTCACTCCCATTTGCTCTTGCCTGTTCATTTTCTTTCTTTCTTTCTTTCTTGCTTTTTGTCTTTTTGAGACAGGGTCTCGCTATGCAGTTCAGGCTGACCTTGAGCTCACGTTGTAGCCCAGGCTGGTTTTGAACTCATGACGATCCTCTTGCCTGAGCCTCCCGAATGCTGAGATTACAGGCATGCGCCACCATACCCGGCTTCTCTTGCCTGTTCAAAAAAACCCTTTTATTCTATTCATTGAAATGCTTGCCGACCTTAACTGTGGGGATTTACTTCTACCTCACTACTTCTTTTATATAAACATCTCATTCAGTGTTTGAATACTTAAAACAATGTCTAGAAACAGTCTACAGACAAAAAAGCAATTAGTTCACAAATAATGCCCATTTTCCTTTTCAGTCATACCAATATCCCATGTACACCTCCCTGAAGATGCCCCAGTTCAATGCACTTCTCAATGCTGTTTGACAGGCAGCCCCTTCAGGAAGTTATCCTTAGAAGAAACTTTCCCTTCTGTCCATAATACATTAACACCTACCCCATCTTTCTCAGCATTTTAAACTCTATCCAAACCCTCACTTAAATAGTCTAACTGTAAAGAGTTTATTAGTTAACTTATAAATAAGGCAGCTAGCAAAGGAGGAGCATCATACAGAATTGGCAAATTAGAGACTTGGATAAGAATTAAAATGAGAATAGCAAATAACCTTGGCCTTTGGACCAAGAGTGTACTTTCTGCACAACAGAGAACCAGCCTATTAAAACGAGTTGCAGGCACTCTCTGCTAAGCTCGTGAGTTTCCAGGAAGTGAAAATACAAAATGTCTAGTGTTTTCCTAAAATGCCAGTTGTTCTGGACTCACAACCAGAAATGAACCAAATGGTACCGACCGACAAACACCAAGACGCATGGACTGCCAATTGGAATTTAGGACGAGCCTTTATTCCTGGCCAGGGACTGACTGAGAGCCTCCATGCAGGGAAGGATCAGACAAATCCCGATCTAGGGAGGAGAGCGGTTTATAAACCCTAAAACCGCATCCTGTTTGGCAAACACATGTCACATCTGTAACAATGAGGGGATTTTTTATTGCAGGAACAGTACATTCCGAGAATCCGGGAGGGGTAGAGCATTTACGGGAAGAACAATACATTTTGGGAGTCCAGGAAGGGCAGGGCGTTTACAACCAGTTTACAACCATACATTCCAGAAATGGTAGACGTGAAGCTCTAACCCCACGGCAGGGGTGGGGACTGGGAATTAAACTAGAACCTTTGATGTCTGTGGTGGGGCTTTTACACCAATTTCGTTTTAACAGTGCACGTTCAGGAAACGGGTTAGACAGCCGAGCTCAAAGTGTTTGTTTTAAATCCACAGAGCCCTCTGTGATAGGGGGCCAGTAACTCACCGAGCATTTACTGTGCTCTGCGTTATCTATAAGTAACTCCGGATAGAGAACACGGGGCCACTCACTCGGGACACTTCTGGGAATCACCGGTCTATGTAAAGGCCTCACAAGGGACACGCATGGTCTCACAAAGAACACGAAAATTACTGACTCCTCCCCCTCTTTTCCTTTCCACCTGCGTCGTTAAGATAGTTCCGCATTCTAGCCACTCCCTGAAATGTATCATTCCTTTCTTGTAAGTTTCCTATAATTTCTCGGGACTGCTTCATAAAGATATCGCTTGCCAAGCAGGATGTAGTTTATGTGGCTTTTTAGCTTAAAAGCTGCTCTCTCCCCTGGTTTGCTGCTGATCCGATCCTACCCTGCGTGGAGGCTCTCTGTCAGTCGCTGGCCAGCTAATAAAGGCTCATTCTTAAATCTCAATTGGCGATCCGTGCGTTTTGGTGTTTGTCAATTGGTACCTTGGTTCGGTTCTGAGTCCAGAACCGCTTATTGTTCTGATCTCCAATAAAATCTCTCCTAACACCCTTCTTTCGGTTCGTAACCTCATCACTCAATGTTGTGAGACCACGAGCTCTTTTTATGCTGTAACTTCATTGCGAGTAAAGTTTCATGTAAAAATTAAAACGATGATTTTTCATTGCTGAGTGTGGAACCCAGGGTCTCCCCAAGCTCCTGCTCTCTGCGGACCGGTGCGTACACCTCTACGTGGGGCCGACCATGAAGGTACTGTGGAGTAGCCGTCACAGTACTGTCTGTATGCTGGGGACCCAGAACTGTCCCTGCCTGAGCAAAGGGGGAAAAGTTTCAGATGGTGATGCAGCACCAAAGACTGGAGCTAAGCAGGGGGGCTGTAGACTGCCACAGCTCTTTCTGAGCACTTCCGTCCGGAACGCACCCTATTCCCCCCCATCGCCACCTCCCGTTCCATAACGTCACCATTGCGTAGCTTGAGGGTCTCCCCGGGTCCTTCCGATGCAGCTTGCAGCCAGTAGAAATTACAGAAAAAGAGGGTCCAGTCAGCTGGGTCCTGTCAGCAACGCACGCACAGTGATCACCGTAGCTCCACGACACAGGAAGTGGCCTCCCCCCTCGACCCACCCGATTGGGTAGTTCAGACTGCCCGCGCCTTCACCGCTGATTGGCTCCTGCTGCATTGCCTGACAGCTGAGCTGAGAGTGGTAAGAGAAACAAGCTTCTTCTAGGAGAGGTGGAGCGCAAATGGTAAATCGTTTATTTATTTACTTTTTGTCTTTTTGTGACAGAATTTTCTCTATGCAGCTCAAGATGGCATTGAGCTCACCTTGTAGCCCAGGCTGGTCTCGAACTCTCAGTGATCCTGCGAGCTAAGCAGGGAGGCTGTAGATTATCCTATTCCACCCCATTTCCACCTCCCGTTCCATAACGTCACCATTGCATAGCTTGAGGGTCTCCCCGGATCCTTCCAATGCAGCTCGCAGCCAGTAGAAATTACAGAAAATTTCTGTATTTTCTGTAATACAAAAGAAGGAGAGGGAGAGGGAGAGGGAGAGGGAGAGGGAGAGGGAGAGGAGA